TACTGGAATTTGACACAACATTGTAAAATGACTATAACTCAATAAAATGTTTAAAAAAAAAGAAATTACCTTTAGGAATTTCTCGACTGATATATTTTTACCATAGAAAATATAACAGAAATGCACTTAGGGCCCTTATTATCAATAGAATAGAGAAGTGTACTTTTATGACTTTTCTTAAAAGCAGATATAAACATAATTCTAACATAAAATTCAGAAGGAAGCTGGGACACTCCATCCAGTAACAGCTCTAACCTGATTTTGGACAGTAGTTCTCCTCTATCTGCACAGTCCACACTGACTTGTCGAATAAGTTCATGAAATACTGTATTGTAAATGGTCTGTTCCTTCTTCAATATATGAAGTAGTTTGTGCATCTGGCAAAAAAATAAGATAATCAGTATTTACTGATAATACAGTATTTATTGATGGTAATCAATAAAAGCTATCTTAGAGATTAAGCACTCTGGGTGTGAGTAAGTTTTAGAAACACCTTGATTAATTTGTTCACTTACATTTTCCTTTATAAATATATATTAAAATGGTACATTATTTTTAAAAATCTGTGTCTAACATGCACCTCTATATGAGGCACTGAGAAGGTCACATCTGCCAAAAACACAAAACCTGAATTGAATCATAAGAACACATCAGACAAACCAAAATTGAGAAACATTCTACAGATTATCAAGGTCAAGAAAAACAAAGAACAGTTTCAGATTATAGTTGTCTAAAGGAACATGACAACTAAATGTACTGTGACCCTGGGATCTCAAAATAGAGAGGGAACTAGCTATAAAAGCCATTAGAGGGACAACTGATAAAACGTGAAATGTGAATATGAATATACTATCATATCAATCTTAAATTTCCTGATTTTGATAATTGTATTATGGACTAATAAGAGAATGTCCTTATTCATAGGAAATACATCGTGAAGTATTTGGTGGTAAAGAGGCATGAGGTTGCCATCTTAACTCTAAAATGGTTCAGAAAAAAATCATACACACAGAGATACATAGAGAGGGAGAGAGAATGAGGAAGCAAAATAGGGCAAATGCAAACAAGTAGAGGGTCTGGGAAAAAGTTACACAGGAGCTCCTTATATTAAACTTGTCTGTAAGTTTTAAATTCTATAAAAATAAAAATTTACAGTACAAAAGAGAAATAGTCCCATAAAAGAAAAACTCAGTATCAGTGAAAGAGCTCTTTTATTAGGTACAAAATAAATTATAAGTGGTAAAAAAGCACGGTTTAATTGGCAGTGCTTTTTAGTGGTACAATAATAATAAGGGTCTTATAATCAACGGTGCCTTTTATTCAGTTAAATGCAGTAATAATAAAACTAACGATTAAATATACAGTGTTTACCACATGCCAAGCACTGTTTCAGGCACTTTATGTTCAGTATGTCATTTAATTTGCACAACAATCCTATAAGCTAAATAATTATTATCCATAATTTACAGATGAGGAAATCAAGGCACAAATACGTTAAATGACCTGCCTAAGGTCACCAGCTAATAAATGGCAGCAGGGCCAGGATTCCAATCCTCCAGAGCACATGCTCGTAATCACTAGTTAACACTGATCTTTGCAATTACCTTGGTTGGCCCTGTGTATTCCTGATTTTCCACACCAGCCCTCTCCAGCATAGTATCCATCACATCATTCAGCTGGACCACTTCTACTCTTTTATTAGGTTTCCTAAAAGATTAAGATGGCAGACTTATGTAATGAGTGTTAGGCGAAAGGAATATAATATAGATAAAGAAAATGTACATACTATGGAATATTAATGGTATTTTAAAGCATTAGACCTGTATGTACTAATCTAGTGGGATATCAGTAATACAGTCAAACAAAATACAAAAAGAAATGTAGATAGTATGATTCTCTTTTTCATAAAAGAAAATAATGTACCCCCCCCAAAAAAATTCTATACACCGACTGTGTAGGTTTGTAAGAACACAGAATAATGTGGAGCAATAAACACCGAGCTGTTAATGTTGGCTACTTCACAATATAAAAGAAAAAGGACAAAGGAAAGATAAGAAAAAAAAGACTATAGCAAAATGGGGAAATACTAATGGTTAAATGCAGAACATAAAAGTATTTTATATAAGATCCAGCAATCCCACTTCTGAGTATTTATCCAAAAGACTTGAAATCAGGATCATGAAGAGATATTAGCACTCCCACGTTTACTTAAGTACTCTTCACAATAGCCAAGATGTGGAAACAACCTAAATGTCCATCGATGAATGAACGGATAAAGAAATGTGGTATATACATACACTGGAATATTATTCAGCCTTAAAAAAGAAGGAAATTCTGCAATATGCAACATGTACCCAGAGGACAATATGCTAAGTGAAATAAGCCAGTCACAGAAGAACAAATACTGCTTGATTCCACTTACACGAGGGATCTAAAACAGTTAAAACTCATACACTCAGAGAGTGGGATGTTGGTTCCCAGGGACTGTGGCTGCGGGGAGAAGGAAATGGGAATTTGCTAGTCAACAGCCATAGTATTTCAGTTATGCAAGGTTCTACAGTTCTGCTGTACAACATTGTGCCTATAATTAACAACACTGTACTGCATACTTAAAAATTTTTAAGACGGTAGATCTCATGTTAAGTATTCTTACCATAATAAAATAAAATAAAATTTTAAAAAACATTTAAAATGGTTTAAAAAGTGTTTTACAGCATTTCAATATTATAAATATGTTAAAAAATCAACATGCAACTGGACAAGTGAAAACACTGATTAGATGACAGAATTGTGGGCAATTATTTTCTTAGATTTCTGCTGTAAGTTTAATATTTTTGTGTAATAAAGTACCAATAAAAAGGAGTATATGTGCATACAGCTGTTCTTTACTTTCAAAAACAAACTGTACTTACATGGATGGGAAGAGCAACAGTCTATTTTCACTGTCTGTAAGGAGAGTAGTATATTTGCTGCAATAAAGAAGCCAGGTAAGTGTTATTGTAAGAAAACTGCCTAGCCTGTTCATCGTATAACACAACATGAAAAACTTAAGACCCCACAGAATTGAGAAGCTTGGAGACAATCAGAGAGGTCCATCGTTTTACACACAAGGTCATACCTAAACAGCCCTAGACACCTACAGACACAGATATAATACTACTTAATATTTAAAACATCTTTTAGTAAAAAAGGTTTTATCACATTCCTCAGTATATCACAATATGAAAATTTCTTTGATTCTTTAAAAAAATGATCTTTCAAAAGTGGAAGAATGTTCCAAGAACGCTGAAGTCAACAAAGTGACGTGACTAAACAGGTTACAAAATTTGTAAGAAGCAAAGACAAAACTAGAACCCAGTTTTCCTGATGCCCAGCTTACATATCTGTCCTCTGGAAGTACCTGTTTATACCAAAATGGGTATCACAATAAAAACCTCATGGTAATCCTTCAAATTTATTATTTATACATTTTTTCTTCCCCTAATTGAAAACCATTCCTTTGGTTCTACCCCCTACTGGAACACAATTGGTTAAAAGGAATTTAGATTAGTGAAAAATCTTCAGGGAATATAAGGACTCAAAGTAAAGTTTCAAAAATGAGTGTGTGAGAGGGACTAGATGCAATGATACCCCGGGAGCAATGAGCACACCTGGCACCAAGATCTTGGTTTCTGAGAACACTTCTCCACTAAGAGGAAATGGTACTCCTTAGAGAAGTGATTCATAGCTCCTTCCAGAGCTGGAGTCAGTAAAGACTAGATGAACCTGAAAATCTTACTGAGCCAGAAAATACGAGAACATTCAAAGAATGACAGGGCCATGCCTAAAGAGTGCAAGAGTCAGCTCAAAGGGGAAAATCATTGGCAAAATCAGGAAAAGCTGAACATCAATGATGGCAAAGAATTATAACCTACTGAAAAAAAAAGAAATCTATTAGCCTATATTGTAAAATGGCAATTAATATATACAAGAATGATAGAGCTAAAAAAGATCAAAAAGATCTATATAACTAGTGGGTTGCTAGGAAATACACACCAAAGCACTTAGTGGCAAAGGGTCATGATGTTTCCAATTTACCCTTCAACAGTGTG